GAATATATATATATAAATAAGAATTGCAAGGTTTAGCGTCAGATTTTTGACGGGTCGTGCGCGGAAGTGTCAAACTTATTGATCGCAATTTTAAGTCGCAATTGTAACGCGTCAGACTTACGCGTCAGACTGAAGACACAATGGTCGCAACTCGCAAGACCAAAAGTCAGACTTAGTGGTCGCAGTCTTAACAAACCACGAGTAAAAGTGTATGTAAATAGCTGGAAGCATTCAGAATCTAAATAGGTTCTGTCACTTCCCAGTCCCTACTATTTTTTATTTATTTTTTAAATTACTGAAAACGTTATATATAGTTATTTTTTTTTAAAGCAAATTACTGAAAACGTTATATATATTTATTACAGCTTGTTGAGCTTTATGTATCGAAAAATAAGTGTCACGCTATTCTTTTCTGTCAAGCTCGTTTATCTGTCACGCTAAATCAATGACGGTTTACCTATTTGTCAGTCCCGCTCATCATCCGCATAAGCACACCATTCTCGCCAATTGGAACAGTGTAGAATTAAGGAAAATTCGAGAATCGATCAGTAAATATTGGTCGCGTATAAATAATACATATTTACAAACCTTTTTCTTTAAATATTGTTTTTGTTTAAAAACCAATTATCATTTAAAGTCGAGCACTGGCGACAAAATTTTTGTTTTTTATAGAAAAGAGAACAACATCAGCGGCTGTAGACCAATCTTTGTGTTTTTTGGTGTTTTATTATATTTAGTTCTGAAAGCGTAAGCTTTTCTAAGTCCCTGCATGACCCTCTCTAGAGAAAGTAGAAAGAGAAGAAAACTTAAATATTAAATATTATTAAAATATAGGGGATCGTACTAACGTCCGAAAGACGTCCCTGTCGACATTATCACCGATTTTTTGTCTGTCGCCAAAAAATGTACGTGACGCCTTTTTTTGCCGGCTGGAATGGGTTTTGCCCATTTGAGACCCTATACAAATAATCAATAGGCCAAATGTCTGAATATAAACCAGTAATTTACCCCTATGATTGTACGTTTTCGGTCCCTGCGGCTTCTCAGCCGCGTTGTATATATTTATGAGGACGACAAAATGTCTCCTCTGAGTCCTCTCAACGCGACATACCCTTACAATTTTGTTATATTTTTTTTATTGTTGTAGAGCCCATTTCTGCGAGCATCGCTACTTCGCTATTTAGCAGGGTTTAATGTCCTACAATTGGCTTTGAGTAGCTGTTTTTTATGTTAACAAAAAGATTAAAAGTCAAGGTCGTTACTAGAACTGTGACTGAAAACACGACCGGCGCAGGGAGGCGTATGTAGCAAGAACGTACAAACGTGTTTATTTACTCCAAAAGGGGTTCATCGCTGTGATTGCGCGCAAAAAAACTGGAAATTTGGAATCATGTTTTTTAAAAAGAAGACGATATTTTGCATATTTGCCTCGGATTGAGTTCGTATAAAATCGTATCAGATGTAACGTTTTAAGTCATTTCGGTCATTTCCGTATCGAAACAAAGTGAGTGGATCAAATCGATTTAAAATTTCGATCATTTAGTATGGCAGACACTTTTGGAATGGTCCATCCTGAACTCGAGGCGTTCGAGCAACCCAATTTAATGTCCCATATCACAAAGACATTCAAACTGGTAGATGAAAGACTCGTCAATAGCGAACGATTGATCGAAGAGCAGCGTATCCTTATCGAAGAGCAGCGCATCATTGAACAGGATATTGACGTGCAGCGAATCGCCCTTGAAAACAATAGATGGAGACGAGCTCAGCGAGTTCAACGAGTTCACGCGCGAGATATTGCTAATTTGCAAAATTCAGTAGCCGACATGCGAGTCTGGATGGACGCAAACGCGGGCGAATCCCATTCAAGTCCTAGTGCAGATCGTCCTATTCCTAGCGCAGATGGTTCCGTTCACAGCGCAGACCGTCCAACTCCCAGCGCAGACCGTCCAACTCCCAGCGCAGACCGTCCAACTCCCAGCGCAGACCGTCCAACTCCCGGCCCAAACCATTCACCTCTTGCCGCAAGAACTGTACGGATCAATGAACGCAGAAGACACTCCCTTCCAAAATAGAGTGCGCCATTACCTGGCGACACTGAGACGGGCGAACTCTTCATTCCAAACCTCCAGTCACTACTGGACAGAGGAAAGATTTCGTGACCTCAGAAATTTTCTTTGCTCCCCACAGTACCGTCATAGAATTGAACGCTCGAGTGCTTCCAAAGTCATTCGAAACTTCCGCAATTTCCTTGATAGCCGTCGCGTATAGGTTCAAATACACTTCATCATAGCAGGTGAGAAAACACTTCAGCCATAGTCGACTTGTCGACAATAAACTAGACTTGGCCGGTACAATTTTACAAAACTGAATGGTGGTTCACACAGTATCACTGAGGAATACGTATCAAACGAGATCCCTAATAAACATTTATTTCTAAATTGTTATTTAGCTCAAGTCTGACAACTCAAAAGAAATTCATCTCAGCAGCCTATGATATAGTCAGTCTCCGCGAAGTGGTGGAGGAGGTACGCTTAGTCAATACAACATAACTGTTCAGGGGTGTATGGGGTGTGATAAAAAAAATGCTTTGGACGAGCACTCACAAGTACTCCAAATTGACTTGTATAGGTTTAAATACACTTCATCATAGCAGGTGAGAGTAAACTTCAGTCATAGTAGCCATGCCTACAACATTAAAGCTAGACTTCGCCGGTACAATTCCACAATGTTGAATGGTGGTTCACATAGTATCATTGTGAGGAATACGTATTAAACGAGATTTTATTAAACATTCATTCCTAAATTATTATATAGTTCAAGTCTGACCGCTCAGAAGAAATTCCTCTCAGCAGCCAATGATATAGACCGTCTCCGCGAAGTGGGGAGAAGGTACGCTCAGTCAATACAACATAAATGTTCAGTCGCGTATGGGGTGTGATAAAAAATGCCTAGGACGAGCACATACACGTACTCTACAATTGACTTCTATGATATGCTGATGTGTTGAAGAAACGCTCAATAGGTCAGATATCTTGAACGCACGTTACGAAATATTTACTTCGACGGGATTTGCTTCGAAAATTGAGGAGAAACATGACGTGCTCATGTGCGGGTAATGTGACGATGTTACGGTAACATTGACCGACCCTGTTCGATTAATGAAATTACTTTTAAGCGACAATGATTTTAAGCGTAAGGAGAAACATGACGTGCTCATGTGCAGGTAATGTGACGATGTTACGGTAACATTGACCGACCCTGTTCGATTAATGATATTACTTTTAAGCGACAATGATTTTAAGCTGGAGTCTTAATTGGGCGCATATAAAGCAACCAGGCGCATAAATGTTAGGCATAGTAGCAATAGTATTAATATATATATATATACACACACACATATATATAAATATATATATATATACATATATATATACATATACATATACATATATATATACATATACATATACATATACTATTACATATACATATA